TCCAGTCTGCCTCATTCAATACAGAATGGAGATTGTGTCAGCAGCTGGGCATTGGAATCTCCTTGCTAGAAGTATAGTCGGTAGTGAGGTGGAAAGGAAAAGTGTAGATGTAAGTGGTACTCCGTGTGCACGTGTGAAGGTCTTGGAAAAAGGCTATGAAGTGGCTGTAAAATTTTACAAGTATGGTATTCTCTTCGGGGTCCAGTCTGCCTCATTCAATACAGAATGGAGATTGTGTCAGCAGCTGGGCATTGGAATCTCCTTGCTAGAAGTATAGTCGGTAGTGAGGTGGAAAGGAAAAGTGTAGATGTAAGTGGTACTCCGTGTGCACGTGTGAAGGTCTTGGAAAAAGGCTATGAAGTGGCTGTAAAATTTTACAAGTATGGTATTCTCTTCGGGGGGGAAGGGTCAGTGCTTGAGCATAGGTCCATTGTAGGTATTTCCAGTCTAGTTGAGTGAAAAAGCAAAGTGATAATGTGTGTTATGAGCATAATGAGGCATTGCTCAAAGAGGGTATAGTCAAAGTTGCACGGGCATTTATCTTAATTGTGTAGTTCCTGGCTTTCAGCAGTTTGAGTTTGCTGAAGTTGAAAGTTTGGAAGGACACAAGCATCGCCAGGTAACCTTTATTCTGCATTAACAAAACTTTTTGCCATTTAATTGCCTACTTTTTTTTTATGCAGAAAGAGAAATGTTTGTTGGCTGGAATTAGCTGGGAAACTGAAACATGGAGAGATTAAGTGACTTGCCCAAGGTCACTTAGTAGGCTAGTGGCACAGCTAAGAAAAGTCCCAGCCCAGTGGTCTTTTTGCCATGTGATTCCTCAGTGCCTCTCCTATACCTTTTTTGTTATAGTAGAATGGGCATAATGGTCACGCTTTGAAATGTTTGTTATGGGTATGCACTAGTGTTGTGCTTGTGCCAATCCCCAGATAGTAAAGAGATAAGGTGGGTGAGATAATACCTTTTATTGGGCCAACTTCTTTTGGTGAGAGAGACAAGCTTTTGGGCAATGTGTAATTTTTCAGGACAAGTGAAAGCAGTCTCATCCATGTACACATATCACAGGTCGCAGTTTCCTAGGCCTGGTCTGCGCTTTTTTTTTAGGCCAGCATAGCTACCGTGCTCAGAGGTGTGAAAAGTCCATCCCCCCTTGCACCGTAACGGTGCTAGCCTAGCCCCAGTGGATGCAGCAAGAGGAATGGAAGAATGCTGCTATCGCTCTGCATGGCTTGTGCTTATGGGTGTTCCTGCAGAGACGGGGGAAAAAGCCTTCCAGCAGGGCAGGCGGCTTCTGTGCTATGGGGTTATGTCAGCGTAGCTACGGCATTGTAGCTGTGCGTTACAGTTTGCATAGTGTAGGCTGGCCCAAGCTGCACACTGAGCTGGGGGCCCCTCACTTCCACGGCCTAATCCCTGCTTGGACTCTTGCCCCCTCAACCAGGCTTTTCCAGCCATGCTCCAGGTCCACCTTGTCTGCCCATCATCCAAACCAGGCCACACCCCCGTGCACCCTGGCCAACCTTCCCTCCTCTCCAGGCAGTGATGTGTATCTTGTCTGAAACCCAGGGAATGAATAGTGGTTTAAATGTGTGATGTCTTCATTCTGCAAACCCAGATCTCAGCGCACACGGAGAGGCAGGTCGAAGGGCTCAGACCCATGGAGAGGTGATGGGCTTCCCTTAGATCAGAGGTGGGGAACCTTTTTTGGCTCGGGGGCCACTGACCCACAGAAAAATCAGTTGGAGGCCACACACAGTTGAGAAGCCAAAATACAAAACAAACCCTCACTGATGTGGCCTCTGACTGAGGAGAAACACTCCCCACAGACCCCTCATACCTCAGAGCCTAGGGGGACCCAGGCTAGTAGATTTTATGTGCTCCAGCCCTGTGGTAGGGGGGTTGGAGCACCAGTGTGGGCTCCCCTGCATTGGAGGAGTCCCCGGAGCCTGAGGGTTCCATACCCCTGCCCTAGATCCAAGTGCACACACAGAAAGAGAGAAATTGGGGCTAACAGGCCCCCTTCCTCTACTACCCTCGCATCCTCAAACCCCTCCAGTCTCCCAATCCCTACTTCCTTCCCTTTTCCTTAGCCCTGATCCCCTCTTCTTTGCCTATTCCCTTGTCACTCTCTGCATACCTTGCCTCAGGTACTATAGGGTTTGTATATTTTGCTTATTAAATCTTCAAAGGCAGAGCTCTTTCAGTACTGTAAATCATAATTATACCACAGCATTAGTCCTGGATTGTACTTTGGCTCATCCTAAGTGTCTCTGTTTAGTTGCCTTTTATTGCAGGCAATCAGTGACAGGTACCTCAGACATCAGTGATTCAGTTCTTCAGCATTTCCATATTTTGATGCATTAGTTTGGAGATTTTTTTCCTCCTACAAGCAATGAGTAAATTTGATATTTCTAAAAACGATGGAACAGCAGCGCAGGCAGCTCTCCAGAGAGCCTTTTAGCAAAGCATCTCATTCCTGACCAGCCCAGCTTCTCTTAAATTGTAGTCCTGGGACTCTCTTAAGTGCACGCTGGAAGCTGTCAGTCTCCGAACCAGACTGTGAATTAGCATCTAATCTGGACCAGGATGGGAGAGACCATCCAAATTCTATGTTACTTCTGTTCTGACCAGAAGGCTAATTACACACTGAAGTTTTAAGCCGTGATGTGTTTTAGATCACTATTGAGTGTGTCATGGATCTTTTTTCTGATATGTAGCCTAGTTCCCCCTTCCCCTCTTCTATCCCTCCTGCCCCCCACCCCCCATTGCATTTTGTTCCTTACAACTGAGTTTAGTGCTGGTAAAATGCACCATGTTTACTTTAGGAAAGCTCTGAGGTAGGGATGTGAATGACTAGTTGACTGTCCGATAAGCAAATGCACACTAGTCAACAGGTCGCTTCCCCCCCTCTTGCTTCCTCTCAGAAAGAGGCAGCATGGGTGGGGGGGGGGGGAAGAAGGGGTGCTTCAAAGCGGCACCGCCACTTTGAAATTCCCCATGCAGCCCAGGGTCAACTGGGGACTACTTGGTTGACCCTGGGTTCCATGGAGCGCTGCTGCTTTGAAACACCATGGGGAGCATGGGGCCAGCTGGGGACTGCTTTCTTTCCCCACTGGCTCCATATTCCCCACAGCGCTTTCGCCTTTGAAGTGTAACAGCCCTGGGACTGTTGCTACACTTTAAAGGTGGCAGCGCCCGTATCGACTAATTGAATAGTCGATGCAGATTGCATTGACTATTCAATTAGCCCATTAATCTAAATTTAACATCCTTACTCTGAGTCCTCTGTTCGTACCTGCATCATGTACTGCAAAGGTAATGGTAGTGTCAGTTGCCCTACCTTGGCCTTGTGCCTTCGCCTTGCCCCAGAGGAATCATCTGCAGAAGTGGAAGCAGAACTTAATCTCCATGGGCCATTCAATCTTTGTACCTTCCATGGAGACTACGAATAAGGACTATTGTTATTACCACTCCTAATGGTGGTTTTGTGAGTCTACGTATCTGGTCTGTAGGAGTAAGACTGAGATGCCCAATTCATTAAACATAGGACGCTGAACAGTCATCGGAGCGTAATGAGTGTCAGTCACTTAATACCAATCCTAAAATGGATTTGAACCAGTAAGCTACAGATGAATGACTCCATATTCTATAATCACTCTGAATCCTTGAAGATTTGCTTTACGCTACTCTTCAGAAAAAGGAGCTTAAAGAAAAGCCGTTGTAGACAAAATGTAAAACCATAGGGAGGGGAGAAGAAAAGAATCCCGGGAATTTGTTGGGGGCACAATCAGGGGTTAAGGCAAGAAAGTTTGGGGGACCAATCAAGCAAAGTGTTTGGAAAATGAACCAAAAAAACTGCACCACTCACCAGACAGCCATGCTGAGAAACATTTTCAGAGGCAGCTCGCAACTGAAAGCTTCTCTCTAGACAGTAGTCCACATTTTGTCACACATGCTGGCAGCGTAACACTGCAAGGTGGTGGATAATTTTGCAGCTGAGTTGTGTGTACCTGGACTTGTTTCAAAATACATTTTTAAAATGAGTAACGTATGATTAATCTTCTCTAGTGCCGAAGTGAATCCTGGCTGCATTTTGATTTAAGATAAAACCCACCAGGAGAACTGAATGTCACTAGATAACATTTCCCAGGTAACAGCTGGAAGGCATCTGTTCTTCACAGATTCTTTTGTATTCTTTAATTGTGCTGACACTGCACAGCCTTGAAGCCTGCACCCTGGAAGGGTAATGAACACAGTCCTAATATAATTTCATGTTTTTTTCCAGTAAGCAGCAAGCTAAAATGCTTTTACAAATTCATTCATATTTGCAGCAAGTTACTGAACTAGCATGGCTGCTCCTCAAGGAGTGGAATTCGGTTTGCTTGGCTACAGCTTAAGTGAGGCTAATGTTGGAATAAACCATTTTACTAACAACCAGGAGTCCTGTGGCATCTTACATTAACAGATTTATTAGGGCATAAGCTTTTGTGGGCAATACCCACTTCATCAGAGGAATTTGAGTGGTAGTTACAGAAGCAGGAGTATACATCAGGAAGAAATTGCTTGTGTTAATGAAGCTAATCAAGTCGGAGTGGGTCATTCACAGCCTTTGATGTGGAGGTGTAAGTATCTAGGGTAGGGATGCTAAATATTGATTAATTTAATAAATGTGTAACTGCATCAAATC